TGTTGTTGTTGTTGCTGCTGCTTTGTCGTCGTCGTGGCCGTGTAGTACTAGTAGTCATATCCCTGGGCACATGATCTTCGTGAGGATGGCTCCGCTGAAGCCGATCAGAGACCCCACGATCCTGAGCGTTCACAGGGCGAAGGAAAGATCTTAAGATCTTGTGGCTACTGGAACTACTGTTGTTACGGCTACATTGGGGATTAGTACTACGAATACCATTGTGAATACGTTTGGCCATTACCTGTTATTGCCATCACCGGATTGAACTAGTTCTGTTGTTTTCGCTGCTCAAAGTAGTTGTGCTCGGTGCTGCGGCCATTTGGGGAGGAGGGCTCGAGTCGAAAGGCACGAGCATGTGATGATAGTGGTGATGATAAAGATGATGACTGACCATGACAGTCAAAAGTCACGATGGCCACGATCGTGATATTGAACATGATCATGCCCATCATGATAAAAAGAAATCCTGTCTTCGGGATCCCTGCTTGGAGATCTAAACACAGGCAAAGTAAGCGAAGCACCTGACGCCACCCAAAGCCCCACGCAGATCATCCCAGGCGCGTCAGCACCGGGCTCTTCAGCAGGAAGCCCTGCGAGACTCTGCGTGGCACAATAGAGGAGAAGATGATTTTGGATGAGGAAAACCCTGAGAGCGAAAATGATCGGACGCGGGGCTTAGGGCCGTTCCGATTTTGAATACCTGTGTCTGGGGTCTGGCTACGTTTGTCTGTGCTGGCCTATCAAACTGAAGACTCTCGGGCTCGAGGAGTAGCGGCTTCTCATGATCTTGGTGACATAGAAGCGACTGTCAGCATGACTACGAAGATTACGGAGAGCCTGAGCCTGGGCCCTGCAAAGAGCCCAGGGTCCAGGTGCTGATTCAGGGCTTTTTTTCGGAGAGGGGGCCTCTTTGGCTTGGGGTCCTACACTCTCCCGGGTGCCTCTGCCACCAGAGCCCAGCCGGAGTAGGAGTTCAGCACCGTGATGCACACGGGCATATCACCTGGCGCCAGAAGTACAGGGAGTTTTGTCAGAAGGCAAGAGCCTACTTCTTTGTTGAGTTTCTATCGCACCAGTTGAAACCATTCACGGAGCCCTTCCAAGCAGGAGTCACAAGAACCTACAACCGTTCCGAGTATTTCGCAGATAAGGGCACGGAGAGACCAACAACCTCCCTCCGAGAACTCCGAGACTCTCGAGCCTAAACTGTACTCCCCTACGTCTCTATTGGGAGTGTCTGGGCCAGCACCGGTCAGTAGTTGGCAGTCAGGAATGGCGAGCTGTTGACTACCAGGAATGGTATGGCTTTGTAGTGCCCCATCAACCCGACGTGTCTCCTGCCTCCTCCTACGCTGCCCACCAGGTGCACGCCCATGACGCAAGCCAAAGCGGCTACGACCCAAAGCAGGAAGATGCCATAGTGGCCTCGGGCACAAGGTCGAAGCACTCAAACACCTAGACTGTGACGGGTTTCGGTTTCCAACTGAGCCTATGAACCTTGAGCCTAAATCTAGAGCAATTGAGTGATACATGCGATTTGACCACTCATAACTTCCGTGTGGCCCGTCCCAGCGCACAACAGTTCCCAATGCCTCCCCAAGCTCGATCTCCCCACCACAAAACGCAAAACGCAAAGTGTCCCGAGCACGGGGTTGGCAAATGCCAGCAAACGCTCCAGAATACCTTCTGAAGTCTTGCTTGGCACTCTCTCTTGCCTTCACTATCCTTCACTGCTTACAATGAGCCTTCCCGCAACAATGAAAACTCGCTCTATGCATGGTCATCATGAATTCTCTTGGTACTGACGTGGTCCGATGCGCATGACCACAGGCACCCAGCACAGGCTCGTTCAATTGCTGCGGGTCCCCCAAAGCGGGACATCTTCTCAGACTCCTGCCAGAGCTGCCCAGGAAGTCGTAGATCAGGTACAGGAAGAAGAAGAGTCCACCAAGGTTCAGGTAGTTCTTCCCTGACCAAATGCTGCCAACTCCATGCACGGAGCTGCTTCGTGGTTCAGAGGAGGACTGGGTATTTTGGGGGCCCAGGTGCAGAAGTTCGGTCGGGACCAGGTCGACGGGGAGCTCTCAGAGATCCCCCCCAACACCCCAAAAAGCTTTAAGCATTTAAGCCCTGAATCCCAAACGGTTGAATAGCGTTGACAAGAACAATGAAGAAGAAGCACTGCACAGATCGAATGCAGATAAGCATGGCAGTTGTGATGGCGGCAGCAAGAAGGACAACTGCAATAACAACAATAAATTTTGCTTCTATACTATTAATATTAATATGAGATCAATATCATAATATGCTAATATTATATTACAAGACTAATTAATATACATAAAAATATATACATAATATTAATATTGTTAATACTAGACTAATATATAATGTAAATACTCGCAGTGAGCACAAGTCCGGGCCTGGCAAGTCCAGGGGCTTGGACGCAAGGTTCCCGTTCAGCTTCCCGAAAGCTATCAGACCTGGAGAGAGCTTAGGGTTTCGGGTTTTTTTTTAACACCTCTTTTCCTTTCTGCATTTGAGGATTTGGGGTTTAGGGTTTAGGAGTTAAAATTTAGGGTTTATCAGACCTTCTGGGAGAGCTTCAGATCGGTCAAGGACACTTGTGATCTTCGTGCCGCTAGCAGCAACTCCTCAGAAACGCTACGGCAATGGTTGCTCCTGGTAAAACCGAGATCTATACTAGTGCCATGGATTGCAACTGCCTGATCGAAACTGTTGTTGCTAGTGAAATGAAGTGCTTCGTCTTGGTGTACTCCCTGCAAATAGGACGGCAGAACTTCATGTTAGTGTGTGGCTTGTCATCACCTCCGTAGTCGCTACGTAGTCGCTATTGTATCTGAGTGACGTCGGGCCGCCACAATAAACCCGCACAAAGCCTGAACCCCGCCCGACATCGGTCCAAGTATTGCGCGGGCCAACAGGGGCAGTTACATTTACAGAGGATCATGGCGGACATCAGTGTCGTCGGGCTCAAAGTTGATCGGAAACGACCAATTGAAACGATGTGCTTCTGCTTCGTCATGTATCTTCATACGGGGTGCTGCCCGTGAGCGTCACGCCGCCGATGAAGTCGCCAAGGACCGCAGCCACGTTTTCCATGGAGGCACCGGCCTGCAATGTTAGATTTTCGGGATCAGGGAGAGATTGGGGGGGGGGGGGGGAGGCGCGCGCGTGTGACCGTCTCTGTCTGTGCATGCCATGTCGGCTTTCAGTCGGGATTTAGCTGCGGAAGCGGAGCGCCTCGGGGTTCTCCACAAAGGAGCCGATGGATGTGCCTGGGCGTCCGTGTTTCCATCGAACCCCCAAACCGAAGGTAGAAGCCCCGTGCCCTCGACCCTAAACCCTCAACCCAAGCCCTAAGCCCTCAGCCTCAAAACGCACGCAACCGTAAAAGCCCGGGGCACACATGGCTGCGAGGCCCACTAGGGAGTGGAAGGCTGCCACAGTCTGGGGCAAAGCGATGGGACCTGAGAAAATGGCTGCTGGGGTTGAGACTCTGATTTCACATACTTTTCTTTTTTTTTGGGGGGGGGGNNGGAAGATATCATCTAGATGCAAGTCGAGGTGTAGTCTAGGACATTGCTTGAAA